TTAGCTTCCACAAACGGACCTACCTATAACTATGTATTATCAAAGTTCCCTTCCTTTCAACAAGGCAAAATTTAAAATACCGCTAAGTAATAAGGACATTTTTCCTGTCCATTACACTAAGACTCCTATAATAAATTTATCTAAGCTTTTAGGGCAAGAACATATATCCACTTCTGCCGTGCTGAAAAGGCTAAAGCTAAATTATATATACAGTGATTATTAATCTTTATTCATAGTTCATGTTTTGTTTGGTGTAACTTGTTTTTACCCTTATTGTACTTTTACTTTCATTTTAAGGAAACTCAAATCAATTTTAATAATAAATAAATGAATCCTCAATTATATAAGGAATTGCAATGAAAGCTACAAACAAAACACAGCGAGAAAGGGCAGAAAAATCCTCAGTGTTCAAAACCAAACCTATAATTTTACCAACGAAAAAAATCTCCCTTTTGCTCTATTTTCCCCATTTTTCTTAATTCCATCAACATGCCCCTCTTGCCTAATGTAAAAGACCCCCCCTTAACCTCCCAGCACTTATACCACTGCCTTGGTTTTTTTTTTTTTTTTTTCAGTCAGATAATGTTTGCTTCCTCTTTTTTTTAATTTTATTTTATTATGTTATGTTAATCACCATACATTACATCATTAGTTTTTGATGTAGTGTTCCATGATTCATTGTCTGCGTATAACACCCAGTGCTCCATTCAGTACGTGCCCTCTTTAATACCCATCACCAGGCTAACCCATCCCCCACCCCCCTCCCCTCTAGAACCCTCAGTTTGTTTCTCAGAGTCCATAGTCTCTCATGGTTCGTCTCCCCCTCCAATTTCCCCCCCTTCATTTTTCCCTTCCTACTATCTTCTTTTTTTTTTTTTTAACATATAATGTATTATTTGTTTCAGAGGTACAGGTCTGTGATTCAAGTCTTACACAATTTACAGCGCTCACCATAGAACATACCCTCCCCAATGTCTATCACCCAGCCACCCCATCCCTCCCACCCTCCACCACTCCAGCAACCTTCAGTTTGTTTCCTGAGATTAAGAATTCCTCATATCAGTGAGATCATATGATACGTCTTTCTCTGATTGACTTATTTCGCTTAGCATAATACCCTCTAGTTCCATCCATGTCATTGCAAATGGCAAGATTTCAATTTTTTGATGGCTGCATAATATTCCATTGTGTATATACACCACATCTTTATACATTCATCTGTCGATGGACATCTTGGCTTTTTCCATAGTTTGGCTATCGTGGACATTGCTGCTATAAACACTGGGGTGCACGTACCCCTTCGGATCACTACATTTGTATCTTTGGGGTAAATACCCAGTAGTGCAATTGCTGGGTCGTAAGGTAGCTATATTTTCAACTTTTTGAGGAACCTCCATACTGTTTTCCAGAGTGGCTGCACCAGCTTGCATTCCCACCAACAGTATAGGAGGGTTCCCTTTTCTCCACATCCTAGCCAACATCTGTAGTTTCCTGATTTCTTAATTTTAGCCATCTGACTGGTGTGAGGTGGTATCTCATTGAGGTTTTGATTTGGATTTCCCTGATGCCGAGTGATGGTGAGCACCTTTTCAGGTGTCTATTGGCCATTTGGATGTCTTCTTTGGAAAAATGTCTGTTCATGTCTTCTGCCCATTTCTTGATTGGATTATATGTTCTTTGGGTGTTGAGTTTGAAAAGTTCTTTATAGATTTTGGATACTAGCCCTTTATCTGATATGTCATTTGCATATCTTTTCCCATTCTGTCGGTTGTCTTTTGGTTTTGTTGACTGTTTCCTTTGCTGTGCAAAAGCTTTTTATCCTGATGAAGTCCCAATAGTTCATTTTTGCCCTTGCTTCCCTTG